TATGTTCACCAAGTGGCTAACAGTCACAGGGGCAGATTTAGAGAGTGGGCCGGATGTGGTCACAGAGAAGAAGTAGTGGAGTCGACAATTTCTCTCCCATTGCAGACAGTTGGGACATAGTGGGCACTGACAGCTGGGAAAGACATGGAATAAGAAGGAAGAAAGAAGGTAATTAAGGCATAACTCAAGCATTCTAGGACATTATTTTGGATATTTGCTGCCAAAATGGATGACAATAAAGCAATAATCGTTTTATTACCATTACATTTAAAACTACAGTGCAAGATCATCTGAAATCCTGTTCTAAAAAGGTCACAAATATACCAATCAACAGTGATGGAGGTCTATACTAGGGCTGAAAGGGCTTTGCCACATAAATGATAAAAATGACTCAGTGATTCAATGCAACAATCCAATAGTAATGAATGGCAAAAGCAGGGCTGCCTTTCAGAGTGTGTTTGATGGACGGAAGTGATACTAATAAGACCAAGAATCTATTTCAGCTGCAGTAAAATGTGAATGGTAGTAAATATAGTATCAAACAAACATGCCTGGAACTGCATCTAACCCTCTAGTGATTTTTTTTGTGAAGGCAACTGGATGCTGTGCTTTTGTATTAGTTGACAGTGGAATTAATTATGCACATACAATTAATATTCTTTTTTTGTGGTCACAAAAGACGAAGTATATTAGTTGAAAATTCCAATCAGTGTTCTTTCCTTGGTGTCTCACTGCACATTGCTATCGCTCTACCATCAGGGTGCCATTTGTTAAAGTCAAAAATGAACTTACCACTCATTTATTAAAGGTAACACCTTTTGTAGGAGTAACACTGGTCCATATTTGATGACACTCCTGGCTCTAGTCATACTATTATCAGATATTTCAGAAGAGCAGAATATAAAAAAAATTGTATTTCTTATGGCTAACATGCAGCACTGTGTTCAAATCCTGAAGACACCTATTTGACAGAGACATAATAAAAGAACAAGAGAGTGCTGCTTTAAACCCCCGTGTCTTTAAAAATGAGGTAACTGTATTGTAATGTACCGTGAGATGCGTATGTGGTGGCAGCCCCGCTGACACTGAAGCGATTTAGATTAAGCCTGTGACTGGCCACATTCTTCTGAGGCTGGAACAGGATGATATGGACCTTGGGAGCAAACATACAGCCCAGGACAACAAAGCCACTCAGGCTGACAGAGATACACATGGTAGTGGTCTGAACCTGGAGAGGAAACAAGGAGAGGGGAGACAGTAATTAGCAGGCAGACTTTGATGAATAAATCCTATGCTAATGTAGTTTAGGGTAATTGCTGTTAAGAGCTAATTTGGTGATATTAATCTGTAATAATGGAGTGAGCATTGCACAGAACTTTACAAAACATTTGATAAACAGTCAATAAATGGAGCATAAAAATGCTAAAAGTAATCATCTAATCTCTATATGTACACAAGCCAGTGAGGCCTGTAAATGGAGAGTATAACTCTTTAATGTCACACTATGTTACTCTGCAACAGTCCAGAGGACGACAATTACAGGAGGATCAATAAATGACTTAATCAACAGAGACTACAGATCCCAAACTTAATGGGATCTCAGTGGTTGCTTTAACTCTATTATCTGTGCTAAATACAGTCTTATCCTTTGTTGATTCTTGATCTGCAGGTGTATGCAGTACGCGTACCTTTCTATTGCCGTACTCATTGTGTCTAACTTTGTGTGGCTGAGAAGTGTTAGAGATGGTTGCTGAGGTGTATAATGCAAGTCACTGTGAAATCGGAGTGCTGTGCCGAGTAGCATATTAGTAATCAACCCTTCAACATCTCCTCTGTGTACCTATACTCATGTGTGTGAGTGGGTGGTTGTGCATCTTGGTGATGTTATGCCTCCACCTGACTAATCTTAAAGTCATATTACATGGCCAGAGAAATGCTTATTTGAGAAAGAGAGAGAGAGAGACAGAAAGAGGCAGTAGTGAGAAAGTGAGTTGCTTTTCACGGGGCTCAAACAGCATCAGCACTCTTCTCTTACGCCCTTTGATACAGTGCAATGTGTGTGTGTGTGTGTGTGTGTGTGTGCTGAAGATTTGTATGGATCAGGTGAACACTCATCCCCCTTTGCTATTAAATGTGGACATGTGTCAGCAGTTTGACAGTGCCTGTCTGTTTGACATCTCAGTACTGCAGAACTGGGGCATTTGCCAACAGGATTAGAAATTGTTTAAGTTGCCAGTGTATCGGTGTAGTCACTATTTTGTGATGTGTGTGACTTGTATCAATCGCATTGCAGGGGCAAACAAACAAGCAAACAAAAAAACCTCACACAGTTACATTATAGGGACTCCTCTCCCATTTGGGGACAAAAGCAGGTTCTCACACAGTCGATCCTTAGATTTTGTGGATAAGAGTGTAGTTTGACATTTTGGAAAATAGACATAAAGTACTGTGTTTGCTTTCTTGCAGAGAGTTAGATGAGAATATTGATATTGCTCTTACATCTGTATGCTAAATATAAAACTACAGCCGGCAGTCAGCTAGCGTAGCACAAACTGCCCAAGAAAAGTCTGATACATACCCCTCTGAAATCAGTTTATTGTTGTTCGTATATTCGTTCATTTATTTTAAAATAAAGATACAGTGTACAAATAAAGACATGAGAATATTAATCTTCTGATTTAATTCTCAACAACAAATAAGCAATATCAACCTTTTTCTTTTAGGATTAGAGTTTAATATGTTTAGTTGAGTTGGTGTCATCCTAAAAGAAACAAATATTTGTGCTTGTTTGTGCTTGTTTGTGTTTGTCTGCGTTAAAAATACCCTGTAGTCAGTTGATGTCACATAAAAGATGGGAAGAAAAGCCAGCCAAATTATACAGGTGGTGTACATGGTGAATCCAATGAACTTAGCCTCGTTGAAGTTCTCAGGGCACTTCCTGGTCTTGAAGGCATACCTGGAGGTAGACAGTCATATTTTTGATGAGACAGATGACGCCATGTCTACCAAAACAAATGTTGCTATAAAAACACAAAGGTATGAAGTAAACAAAAAATAATTAGAATGTTTTGAATTTGAGATAACATAATTGATGAGCACACACATAGTATCAAAACCTAGTGAACAAAAAGCCCAGTATGGCGAACATACAGTAAATCTTAAAGCCTTAGGACATGTGGCTCAAAAATCAGTGGCATACCACCAGCAAATTGGCATCTGCCTGTGAAACAGAAGTATTATACCATCAGTCACTTTTTGATCTTGGTGTCACTTGCACTTTAGTTGGAACCTTTTATGTAAATTATGATAAATTGAACCTGATATGACACACTTACACAGTACACAGGATGACCAGGAGCACGTCATATCCCAGTGACAACAGCATGCTGGAGTCGCGTACATTACACTTGAGGATGACAGTCTGCCGTCGCTCTGGCAATGTGAAGCGTCGCGTCCCAGGAACCTCCAGCAGCAACCACACCGACACCATCACCAACTGGACAGAGATTAGACTCAGACAAATAAACACCTAAAAAGAAAGAAAGAGAGGAAGGTAAAGTTATTCCCCATCTGTCCATTCATCCATCTGACTGATGCAGACGGATGGACATGATGCTGTAATCACTCACCTGAGAGGACGGGCTAATGAAGCGTGGCCTCACTGCTCCTGCTCCATCCTTCACACCATTGAAAATCCTGGCAATCCTGTTGGTTTTGGTGAGGAGGGCAGAGTAGCAGACAGCAAACGATGTACCGAGGCCTAGGCGCCGCAGGGCACAGATGGCAGGAGAGGGTTTGGCCAAGAAGAGGAAAGTCATGGCGTAGGACATGAAGACTCCTGAGAGGAGGAAGTAACATAGCTCCCTGCCTGAAGCTTTCACCAGCGGTGTGTTGTTGTGTCGGATAAATACCCAGAACACCAGGCCTGTGCACATGAACCTGGGGGCAGCCAGACAGACAAGCAGCTTCATGAAGTCACAGATTCAATAGGTTCTTATAAGCTGGATTAGTAGGGCTGGGCTATATATAACAAAATATATGAAAATAATCAGAAAATATTCTAATATCAATTTAGACCCATATCATCATCTATATTTAGGTGTAGATAAGCACACGTAAAGAGAGAAGGATTTTGGGATGAATAGCAACCATTGTAACAAACGTAATAGTATTTCGACTAACGTTGACTGCGGTTGTAATCATCCCCAAAATCTAATAAAAAGCAGGACACAGCTGTTAATATTACCCAAAGCCCTACCAGTATTCAGGACCAGATTCCATGTGCAGTGAATGTGTATGCCACAAAGTAATGTATAGTTGTGTGGTTTTGGGTCTTGAAAATATGATTGCTAAGCTCTGTTACTGTAAGTAGTAAGCTTGTTAGCTGGACATGCTTACAATTGCAGGTTATATTTGAGCGAATAAACATACTATTTAATTCATTCGCTGCACTTTGCATTCTGTGTTGGTTTTGTAAAGGCTCCCCTCCAGTGCCGCCCTCCAAACGTTTTAAATGCAGAGTATTGGTCTTACGAGATCCTTTGCAGCATGTGGAAAAATCTAAACCATGACTGACCTACCTTTATGGTTGTTAATCTATGATTGGGCAACCACTGTTTGGGATGGGGGGATCAATTTACTACTGCCATCCCAACATCTATACACTTATATCTCTCAAGAACAGTCAGAAACTGGCATCATATTGACAACCATTTATCACTCACCCTATACAGGCAATGGTAATTGGACCAATGGCCCAGGCATCTTCCCACATAATATAGTCTTCAGGAAGGTCATAACAGGATGTGAGGTCGTCAGTGGGCCACTGGCCAGGAGCACATGGTGAGCAAGTGAACTCATCAGCTAGGTATTCATGGGGCTCACAGGCTGTACAGATCCAGCAGCAGTACTCACCTTGGAAACAGGAATAAGAACAGCAGATTATGACAATCTGAGTGAGATTTCTCAAAGGGCATTGCTGCTTTATATGGTATGTCGCCATGACAAAAAACAACATTGTTGAGATTCAGATATCTTACCGGCCTGCATTTTCTTCATCTCATTTCGTTCACAGGGGTCGCTGCACTGTGAGGTGGGCACCGCTTCTTTTGGCCAGCGAAACAGATCGCTGTTCAGGCTCAGAATCTCTGCCCATTCACCTACTGGCATGTAACCGTAACGGTCACCAGAATGCTGGTAGTTGAAGATGTTATATCGGCCCACACCGTCCCCCTGGGAATCAAACTTCACTACTGTCTCACTGCCTGGAGGTGAGAAAGGGGCTGGAGTGTGTGAGAAGAGACAAAGAAATAAAGTGAAAGTGATGAGTGGGAAAAGGAGATTAAAGCTACACAATCACAACAATCAACCCATTGATATCTTACTGATGCCTCTTAAAAGCAGCAGTGAGGACAAAGACAATAGGCCCTGATCTGTTAAAAGCCTTAGGGGTCCAGACAAGACAGTGAATGGCATTGCAATAGTGCTTTCATTGCTGAAGCCAGTTACAAAAGTATTTGCTCCTGGCATGCTTTGTCATGTCGATGTGTATCAGTGGCCTCCCATCCTTGCCTAAGGTTACATACAGCAGAGATGGAAATGCTGTTCTAAATTCCAGTCTGACAGGGTTTATTACCAAATGCATCATTAACAAACTGCCCATAAAATCATATAGGCATGAAGACTGAGCACTGAATCCCTGGGCGGCACTATGGCTACCCACACACTGACAGAATTATCTTCTGGGTCTCTTATGTGAGGGTGGTACACTGCTGAAACTGCCAAATTGGTTTGTATACAAGTTGTTATGAAAGGATTACCATCTACCCCGAGGATGTGGGAACAGACGAGATTGTAAAATTGGCACAATGCTGAAACCATGAAAAAAAAAAAAATCAAAAGAAACAAGTGCCTATGGACTTGGAAAAATTAACTTCTTGATGCGTCACAGGCAGTGTTGAACCTGACAGTGCTGACAGTTGGTCGTTTTGACAAGGATAAAGTGCGTGTCACTCCTACAGTGCCACTTCTGTCCTTACAGTGGAGCAATCAGCCCTGTGCTGCTGACACGCTGCACAGGCCTGTGTGTTATAGGCTTCTGCCTCCCCTGTCAAATGATGATCTGGCTGGGGAAAGTGAAGCGTACTCTGAGTTTATAAAGCATCACTCTTCAATGTATAACAAGGCTCTCAGTTTTTAGTGCACAGCATACAGCATCTCTATGTCACTGGGTAACTAAAGAAATCATGGGCCAAATTCCTTCTTCAAACATACAGTTTGGAATCAGTGGAATGAATCAGAATACAAACTGCCACCAAACTGTTGGGTTGAAATGTGTGTGAGGATGCATGTGCACATGCATGTGTGGAAGCTCCATTAGGTTTTACTTCATAGTGTGATGGTTAAGGTATTGCTCTGAGCACTGTGGGAGGCTGTGCTGACAGAACCAAAGCTCTGACCCTGGTGTTATTGATGGTGCGTGTGTGTGTGTGTGTGTGTGTGTGTGCACGCACATGAATGTGAATGTGTGTATGAGCATGCAACACTGACAAGGGCTAAAGCTGTGCTATTGTTGTGAAAGCTCAGTGTGTTCAGAGAAGAATGGTGTGTCAGATGGTAGCAGAGGGGGTTAGGGTTTATGAAATCCATAAATCACAGAGACAGCACAATCCTCTATCTTTCTTCTCTCTCTCTTTCACTTTTTCTCTCTCTCTCTGTCACAGGAAATTCTAAGTGTCAAACTGTCTTTGGATTTTGGGGCTAAATGTTTCAGTGGCAGCTAAATGAAAATGATTTCAATAAGAAGGTGCTGATAATATCTTTGGCAAAGAAGCGATATGAATACATTATACTGCAAGTTGGCAGATAATAAAGTCCACTAATAACACTGAGCTACATGACAAGCCAGGTCTCCCCCTCTTAGACACCCACACGCACTCACAGAAACACTCTGGCACTAGCTAATTATCGTAACTGCACCTTATTAGACCTCAAATGTGTGTGCTGAAGCCTAATTAGATATATGTGGTAATTACATGTAATACAGACTAAAGAGATATTAGCCTACAGCTCATTTGAGGGTGCTGTATTGTCCTTGACTTCTCTCTAATATATCACATTCAGAGTGCAATAGCCTCAAAAGACTGGTGATTCTTCTCTATAACCAACATCAGTGACCTTGCTGATGTGACAAAGCAGCTTATCAGGAAAGTGCATGAGGGTGGAAGTTAGAGCTGACGAAGGCCACCAAGACTCCTCAGGTGCCAGCAGAGAGCTGAGACAGGTAAGCCTTGTCCTTGACTAATGAATACCACTCTCTAGCCTTAACACTGTCCAGGGCCAAATTTAAAAGTCTGGTAAGCTCTGAGTTCTAGTGGCCAAAGGATTTTTGTTTGGGCTAAACACAACTAAAAGTCTACAGCCATGCAAGCAATTATTTGAGACTCTACTTGTGCTAAATGCTATCATTAACATGCTATCATGCTCACAGTGACAATGCTAACATACTAAGCAGGCATAATGTTTATCATATTTTTTTGTTTTGTTTTTGCCATAATTCTAGTGTAGATTTTAATATATTAATATTTGTTGATTAGTACTCAGTACAAAGCACGTCTGAAGCTGATGGGGATGTCAACTTTATAAGATAATTGGTCAAAAAACAAAGTATTGAGCAAAATGAAAAATGTACGACTGATTGTGTCAGATGAAGTCAAATTTCAATGGAAGCACACCAAAGAAATGGGGATAGAGCAGGTGAAAGGAAGTTTGTCCCTCAGCTGCATTTTTATAATGCATTTCTGTGTGATGTAATTTTGATGAATCATGTTCTGGACCAATTCAATCATTTGAAGACTTGAATGTGGTGACTGCTTCCTAACAGCAGCTGGTGGGCTTTGAATTTTAACACACATACTGTGATATAACTAAAACCTCAAACAAAACAACAATGAATGATGATTCTGTCTTTTCCTGCAGACCCACTCCAGTCCAGCTGAGACCAACAATGTTGTATAACTGACATACACTGGATACAGTGGATCATGGAGTTAGGCAATTGATAAATTGACCCGTTTAGACCCAGTGAAATAAAGTGTCCTTTGTGCAAATTAAGTGGGAAAATACAGTTGTTTATCTGAGAGATTTAGCCAAAATCTGCTCTTCAACTTTGTGTCTGCAATTAATCAAACTGCTGTCACCAAATATAAAAAAATAAAAGTACAACAAGAAGCTAATAAAGTTAGGTGAGACAAACTGCAGTATAAAATAGTTTTATACTAATTTTTGTGAGACACTAAAGCATTCCTACTAACTTGAGAAATACCTTATTATTCTAGCTTAATTAGAAGCAGGGCGAAAACAGACTTTTCATTCAGAAGCTGAGAAATTAATTATGTTCTCGGCAATGTCGTGCTAAAGCAAAGCCCAAGGGGGATTGTGGGTATTAAAGGAAGGGAGAGAGAGGAGAGGCAAAGGGTCTTGGTGGAATAAGTAATCTGAAAGTGGAGACAGGGAGAGGCATGCATACTCATAGGGAGAGGGGGAATCTTTTCTTTATGTGAACGTGTGACTAAAAATTCAAACGCTGGCTGTTGACTAGCTGTGGGCTAGGGAATAGAGAATTATATTTCCAAGCATCGATTCACCTGAATCCTCAATTTAATTCAGATTTAAGCTTAACAGTGTAAGTTGCGCATCAAAACTGATGCATAAAGGCGCACCAATGTCAGGTAAAATATAAATTTACAGCCACTCCACGCTACTAATTGTGTGACCAGCATTTCTTGTCCATCTTTTCTTCCATCAGAGGGTGGATGACCTTATGCATCTGTACCCCAGAGAGTGTGAGGGGACACACACACATCCCTGAGCATATACAGATATGGACACAGGGATGCACTCATATGCCACAGACCCACACACAGACAGATTGTACTAGCTATATTTATTCTCCCTACAGATTTACTCCCCAGAGACGAAGGCGCTGCCTGGGCCACGGAGTAACGGGCCACAGGGGAAGAGAGGACAGACAGAGTGGACAGAAGCAAGTCTAGAACAAGGGAGAGAAATGTGTAGGAGGAAAGGTGCAGCAGAAGAGAGTTGAGGCTTGACTGAAAGAAAGGTGGTGCGATAGAGGAAACAAAAGAAAGAAACAGCAGGGAGGTGTTTCGAGGGAGGATGAGCTGAGAGGCAAGATAAGGGCAGAGGAAGTGAGGAAGTGACAGGGGAGATGAGGGAGAAGAATACGAGAAAAAGAGAGGAGATAGCAACAGAGAAAAGCAAGAAACTGATGTGACGACAGCAGAGATACAGGTGGACAGAGGAAAGCCTTTAGAGAGAGGAATCAATAGTGAAACGGAGAAGGATGGAAGGAGGGATGAACAAAGTGAAGGAGTAGAAGAACAGACCGACGCGGAGAGGCGGTGGAAGCAGGAGAGCAACCTTGTGAAGTCTGAGTAGGATGTGCTGTTTTTGAGTGTTGAGAGAGGAGGATACTTTCTAGGTGAGAAAGAGAAAGGAGACAGAGAAATACAGAATGATAGAATGAGAGAAAGAGAGACATAAAGGCAGAGAGACAGCGCAAGAGCGAATGAGAAAGAGAAGGAGCATGCTTTTCCTTGGCATCTAAACGTTGCAGTAAGCTCTCTGCTCAATATGGCCCTGAAGGCACACCGCCTCTGCTAACACAGACATATCACACACACATACACACACAAGCGCAGAGAAGAGGGAATATCACATCTATTATCACTATTTGAACAGAAGACTGGGTGCATGTGCGTATATAGTGATGATCCGTTTGCTGCAGATTGGGGAGGTGGGAGGGTGGAAGTTGAATGATGGCTTTGAGAAGTGTGTGGGTTGGGGGGTGTCTGCAATTTCATGATGGTAAAAAAACAAACATCTCAATCTGCCTCTATAAAAATGGTAATTGTTTTGCACATGTTTGTGTATTGTATGTGTCCCTTATGCATACGTACGTGTGGGTTTTGTGCTTGTCGTAAAATGCACAAATGTGTCCCTGTGTCTGTTTCTTGTCTGTAGGGAGCAGTTCCCATGATCTACCAGATCACTCCAACAATTGGCAATAGTGTCGGCTTCATTACCATAGCAACTAGTGAGATGAGACTAGATGAAGAGAGTGGCATATGAAAACACTCTCCTAACAGCACAACATACTGTACTGCCTTAGTGCACCACAGACGCTGTCAGTAACACACAACAAAGCAGCCCTATCGCAGTTAAAGACAGTCTGCTGCGTTGTGAATGTAAAGTTGACAACAGGGTATAGTCATTTAATGTATTTAGCACAGAGATATAAGTGAGATCAAACTTTGTTGCATTTTAAAGAGTGTAAAATGGACATGGATGTGTGTCTAGCAGAAGGAGATAGGTGAGAGAGAGCGTGCAGAACAACGCTGGTTTTCCGTCTACTACAGTTCAGACTGAGAGCACTGCGGAGGGTGATGCTGCAGTATTTATACTCCACATTCAACCCCAACTCACCTCAGCTTCTTCCTTCCTTACAGGAGGTCAAAAGATGTATATGAACACCAGTGAGTCATTCAGGATTTGCCAGCAACCCAAAACAAACTGTACTGCCACAGTTCCCAATTTAACTGTACCTTCACCTTCGACAGCCTCATCATCAACACAGATTCTTTGAATGTTTTTTTTTTTTTTTTACCAATACCGATGTTTGCCATGCTTTCACCATCGTCACTGACACAGAGTTCTAAAGAAATTAAGATTCTTGTACATGCTGTTATGCTTTTCCTAGTGCAAAATAAAGACACGAGTCTCATAGACATACATCAGTAGTGAAAAGAAAGCAGGGAGAGTGGGAGTGGGGAATGTAAGTGAGAAAGATGATCAGACATAAAGATGTAGGGAAGTCACAGCAGGATCCTCTCTAACTTTCACCACAGAATTTTAAAACTTTCTATGCGTGAATCTGCTTTTCTACTCTGTCCCCTTCTGTATGTACCCTATAAGGGAGTGGTTATCATCTGTGCCAACTGAAGGCTGCAGCTGCAATCGCCTTGACTATTTTGTCTCTTTCCCCTTTTCTATCTTACACACACAGATTCTCGCGCTTTCCTTCTTTCTGTCACTTTCCTCTCAGACAGAAATGCTCCAAGTCCTTTGATTTGTAGCAGAAATGAAGATGGGGAATTTCAAAGAGAATCCTCTTCTTCTGCTGATGCACGCTGTCCCACTCTGGCGATGCCTCAGTGCTCACTCGTTCTTTCTCTTCTTCCCTTCCTATTTCTTTTTCTATCATACTCCCTTTTACCTTACCCCAAACTCTCTTTTCTCATTTTAGTCTGCCTGTCAGACTTATCTGTAAGCCCCCCACCCCCATACACACATATATGTGTGTTGCTAGTCTTTTGTCCTCCATCAATCCCTCCTGCTCTCTTTCCCCAGTGTCCTGTGGCAAAGCTGCCGTGTTAGTGCTATTTGTCTGGTTGTTTTGATGTCTGCTCCTGGTCACGGTTGGCGGAGGAATAAACACCTCTAAACCTGTGTCAGTCTCCGAGACACAGCAGTGTATTTATAAAGCTTCCTTTGTACACCATCTGTCAGTCAAGCCAATCTTCTGTCTCTTCTCTCCCAACTCTGCAGAGACTGACAGACAGACAGACAGACAGGCAGCCTACTACAGGAGCTATTATAACACACACAATCTCATTAGTGCAAGACAGAAGAATATGGTAACGGATTAACTGAAACTGTCTTTCCTCAATGCAACTTTGTGGAGTCATATCAATTACCCTTGAGCAGTAGGTGTCAATGACAGACTCTGACAATACATAGCAATTAAATGGATTTGTCCCAGTATGTTTTGTGTACTGTGGCTTGGGTGCATTGGCTGAGGAGAAGGACAACATCTCAGTGTTGTGACAGGACTGTTAAATAGGTACATGCTGCTTTCTGCTATCTCCTTTCCTCCCCAACTTTGTCTTCAACATTAATTTCTTTTCACTCTTCATCCACCTTGAACACCTTATCTCGGACTCTGCACTTTCTCCACCATGCTCTAGCTCTCTTACCTGTGAAGCTCACATTAAGGATATAATCCCTGTAGAGCCTGCGTCCATCCAAGGCCTTCATGCTGTCACACAACTTGGTGGTGTTGAAGCACAGGCTCCGTTGCATATTATGAAGGGCATGAGCCATAGCGTACACCGCATTCACCACAAACATGATCTTTGACTCTGGTTCAAAGTTACTCTTGTCCATTGACAAGTCCTTGTCACACAGCGGGAGAGGTTTCTCTCCAAATCCATTACCTCCACTTTTTCCTGCTCCTCCACCACCTAAAGAGCACTGGAACCGCTGTTCCCAGAATTCTCTGTACCAGGGATTTCGAAGGTTTTTGACTGGGTTCAGGGAGAGGAAGTAATGGTTGAATTCTGGCAAGGGATTGGCTGCCAGCTCAAGTGTGATGGCTCCTTCAGCGGTGACCTCGTTTCCCTTGACAATGCTTTCCTGTGCACCCCAGCCATCACTGGCCACCCAGATGAAGGAGGTGTTGAGCCTGGCAGCAGCTGCCAGCAGCTCTCTGGCATCGTCGCTGCGCAGGAAGAGGACGGCCACACGGGCATTTGGCTTCTGAAGGAGCTGACGGATCACAGCTTCATAAGACTTTTTAGCGTTAGAACGCCCCACCTAGACAAAAAGAGAACATTAATGTATTAACATTAAGATGATGTAATTACAGACACTATAACTGCTCCTCCAAAAAAATGTTTATGGTGTCTATTTGTAATAATTTAGTAACATCATTAGGAAAAAAAACAAAAAAAATTTTGTAGTACAGTATCATAGGAACCAAAACGCAGCTCTATAGCAAATGAGATGAAAAATTTGACTGTGAAAGTACCCAGAATGAGTTCTTGGAGATAAACTTTCATTTTCTGGTTCACAACTGATAACAGTGTAATATAAACCCCATTTGTGTGTAAGACAAGATAAGACATGAAGACAAACTTGTATAAGCTCACAAATTTAGTGCCTGGTTCATTGTAGCTGGTGCAGCTTCAGGCCATACATCAGTGTGACACTGCAGATTAAAGTTCTGGTTTCTTGGCTTTGAGCAGTGGCTGCTTATATTCATGCAGATTGGACCACGAAAATAAATACATTTTCTGTTTAGTTCATCGCACTACCTTCTCTGAAGTGGCAATACAGATGTTTCTCATGCGTGCCTCTTGTTCGAAGGCCTCTATTCCGGTTTCACCATAGTCACCCTCAGATGCCACAGTTGACACATATGTCCAGTTGAAGAACCGGAGGATCTCGGCCATGGCTTTGGCCTGGTAGAAGTCAGGGGGCACTGTGCGGGCGAAGTAATCATAGCGAGTCTTATCACTGAGCTTGGCAGTCGTTGACGCATAGCTTATCTGAGGAATCTGGAAGAGCCTGAGAAGATTGGCAACCTGAGGGCAGAGATACAAAAAATGTGATGCTAATCAGGCACAATAATTCCAGAATTAAACTATCACAACTTTTTAATGAATATGGAGGAACTTAAGGTTGATTGATTGATTGATAACTCTTTTTTTTAGCCTGTATTCTTCAATACATGGAGATGTGAAATGATAGGGTAAAAAAAATTTGATGTCTCTTGAGTCTTAATGTATTGAATCTGACTCATTTGAATAATGTCACATAAAAAGTCTTTTCTTTAAGGAAGCGTTGACCAGTTACAGCTGTGGCATACACACTTTGAAAGTAGGTACGTCAGATGTACTGTGTGGAATAGTGTACTGTTTACAGTGCAAATGTTTAGAGAGGTGGCAGGTACAGGGCCAATGACTGGGCAGGTAATGTCATGGGCCATTTGAAAGAAGCGCACGAGTACATGCAGAGAGCAGGACACTGGAGGATGCTCAGAAGAAGTGAGAAAATGGAACAAACACAGATCATCTACATGGGATAACACAGCACAGTGTGGTGAAAAATTAAGATTTTATAAGAGCCACACCGTAATTACTAAAATTAACCCTTTCCTCTGGTATGTCCATACCAGCTGCTACTACAACTGATGTGCCAATCCTTGTGTTACGTAAAAGAAACAACCATAAAAACATCACAGATGCTCAGAGTTCAAATCTACCCCATGCCACTAATGACACTTTTGAATTGGTGATAAAAATATTGTATCACTACTAGATATTCCACCCAATAAACAAACAAGCTAATAAATAAATAAATAAAACTGTGTTTTGGTTTGTAGGGTGTTTCTAGTTAAAATGGTCCAGTGGGATAAAGGGAGACTTAAAAAAAAACTTTAGCCACAGATGCTCACACATACAGGAGATATATAATTGTTACACATACTATAAATATGTAGAAAAAGAAAAAAGAAAAAAATATGTACATGAACATATGTGTAAAAGTGCACACACAAACCACACAGCCATTCAGTTCTTGGCTCAGGTTAATTCTTTTATACAGATCACTCTGGGCTTTTCTATATTTCATTCATAGCTCAGTTGATGAACTGTTATGACAACATGTCAGAATCTCATTAGTCTAATAATGTAAAAGATTAAAGAGCACATTCACATTCATAAACACCTGCACTGACACATATGCACCCACGCACACCGGTGTGGAAGGCTGCTTATAGTACTTCAGACAGATTTTTCTCCTTTTAAGATGGCAGTTGGCTTAAATGTCAGGGAAGGTCATGCTACAAAATGTATCTGCATTTCTCCATTACCTACCACTGAACAGTGGGCATGGCTACAGTGGCTATGAGGCCTGTCTGTAGGGACGAGTTTACTCTGTTAGTGAATGCTGCTCCCTTCATGTAAGAGAGAAGGAAGGGAGATGTACTGTACGAGCTGAATTTGAGAGTAGAGAAAAAATCAAGGGGAAGGAGGAAAAAACTGGTGCATTGGAGAGATGCTGTGATTTTTCTGCTTGCAATGCAAGTCACACACACAGACACATTCACATGTAAACACACATGTACGAATGGATGGGAACATTGACGCCTGCTAAGTGAACGTCTTTACAGCATTGGAGTTCAGTTGTGCATGGTCAAACATTAAATAATTCCCAAATTACATCATTTTAAAATGACAGAGTGGTCAAATATAGAGGTATGAATGAGCACTGTAGCTGGATCAGCTTCACTGGCAAGAGATCAGAAGGCAGAGCACAGTTAGAGTCCTGCAAACAGCGCTGCAGCATGAAAAGACAGGTAAAACGAGCTTCAAGAAAACGAGAGAATTATGTGTGATGAAGGACAGGAGACAGAGCAGACGTGTTCACAATGGCTGCCCCTAGGAAGACAGAGGAGGAGAAGAAGGGGCTGAGGTCAGCACACACTGAAAAAAAGAAGTAGGCAGTGATGAGACAGAAGAGAGCAGAGCTTTAAGACACTGAAAAAATATATTAAATGGAAGAGAGAGATGAAGAGAGGGTGAGAAAGAGAAGACAGAGACGGGTGCAGAGATTAGGCATTTAAGGACTGATCGGAGGAGGCTTTTGTGCAGTCACAGAGGAGTAAGGCAGAAGGAGGTTTTATGCTAAACTATGCAAATTATCCAGTTCTGTGACAAGAGCTACAAGAGCTGGGGAAACGTGCACACACCAATGGAACTTCATTCTAAGAAACAATAACACACATATGCAGCCACACTAGCACTAGCATGTCACTGGAAGTCAGCTGTTACACACATGGTCATGGAACTTGTACAGAGATGAGAAAATAAGAGAGAAGAGGCTTTCAAAGAAGTTAAAAGTAGATGATGACGGTGAAATAGAAATATTCCACTACCATCATGTTGTATATTGCAGGTCTTACCTGTATGGAGACACTGCTGAAGGACCCTCCTATAACTCCAGCGATTGCGAGTGGGCTGTCGTCCTGCAGAGCGTAAGATCCGTCCGGACAGATGAACTCAGTGTCGTCCACCTTGGTAAGGGAAGCTCTTACAAACTCCAGTGCCTACGAACAACACAAACACATAGATATTTTATATCAGTAATCAATACTGTGCACCATATTTTCCTTCTTAGCCTTTGAATTACGCTCTTTGCAAGGAATATTTTACATAAATATAACAGATTGATCATTTAAAAAAATTTTTTTTTAAGGGGCCATAAAAGCTCCTTCCTTTACACTAAGGGCTCTGAAATGCTTTCAGTAAAGTGAAAATGGCAAATGTTTTCATATTGACAGTCAGTGAGCCAACACCTGTTTAGGGAACCCTAATGTCAAGAATTCAGGGTTTATACAACCGAGTAAAGCGCTCACTACATAAAATCACAAGATGCATCATCCCTAAGTAGCTCAGCAGTAAAATACAATTGTGGGGTTTTTTTTTTTGTTTTTTTTTGAAGATACTAATCCCTGAGGGGAAAGTGCTTTCTCTTTTATTTATATCTGGCTCATTTCCCTCGTCCTAAATAGCTTCAATTTCTATTTTTCATCAAGCATTTGCTGTTATCATTACAGGCAAAATCCTTTACCTGGAGCAGATAAAGTAGAATTTCAAGGTTCATTTACTGTACCTTACCTGAATATTACCTTTTAATGAGACCATATATAATTTTACTCAATTTAAAAAGGAGACATTGCACTTTTTACTTTAAGTAGCCCAGCAGCACAAAGGAACAAAGAGCAAATTAAACAAACTGTATCTGAGCTGTGTGGTATCTAAATATTTGGATCAACATTCACAGGTAAATGAAGAAACGAATGAGCACTCTCCAACAAATGCTGTAGGAAAATATCTTTCTCATCTGACATTTGTTAATGATCTGATTACTTTTTCGTCACTGTCATATGTATACGTAGACAAAATGGACCAGAAATGCCATTAGTGAAAAGAACAGCTAGAATTACTATTTAAAGAACACACAACTAGCTGTCAAAGTAGTTTGCTGCAATTTGGGAAATGACCATTTATGTATCTTGGGCAAGCATGTTTACATTAGTCATATTTAAGTGTTAAAGTAAAAAATATCTTGTGTAAATATAAGCTGAAGTTATCTTGTTTTACATAGACGTATAACATTACACTTTATACACATGATGTGAACATGTCTTAAAGGCAGTGAAAGCTTAGCTGAGAAAAGTAATCATTTGACGGGACAGTATATTTTAATACTCTCTGAAATCATTTCTGATTGGAAACGCGCAGAGTTTATATCTAGTGGCCATGCTCACACACCTGCTCCAGTGCATAGGTATCTCTGGAGCAGGTGTCCAGGATGTGGACTCCGAGAGAGACCCCAGGCAGCAAAGTGTTGTCCATATTGATGCTGTCTATGGCAAACAGCATGGCCTCCAGCCTCTGAATCCCTCTGTCCTCATTCACACGGCCACACTCTTCTAACCCAACACCTTTTTCATGAATGGGGAACAGGCCGCCAAGCACCAGGTCACCCTCAATACGAATCTCCCGGCGGGACTGAGGTGGGTCTCCGACAGAGAGCAAGACACCCCGACACATCATGACCAAGACTAAAACAGAAACATGGACCACCATGTTGGGCTCAGGATTGTCAAAACGTGAAGAGAGGCTTGACAGGGAGTGAAACTGGGGGAGATGCGGGGCTGAGGGTGAAGGTCAGGGGTGAGGGGCTAAAGATGAGATGTACAGCTCGGGGTGGGTTTGAGTCAAGCTGCCGTAGATCCTTGAGTCGGTTTGTGGCCCATGAAATGGTCAGGGAGAGCAGAAGCGAAGCACACATGGAGGGGCACACCATCTGGACATCAGTCCTGCTTGGAGAGGAGAGGAGAGGAAAGGAGAGAGAAGAGATGATGGAATCAGGACTCCAGTCAGTCCACATGCAACACAACAAATCACAAAGCTGTCAGGTGCTGCACAGTGAAATACTTCAGCAAGTGTTACGATACAATATAGACAGCAAAGTAAACCATTCATGGAGTTTGGGGACACTGGTAACAAGGGCTCAAAGTCATATCCATTTCATAGCCAAAGCCAGGCCATGACTAAAAGGGATATGGAATTGTTAGGAGACTGTACCCCACTGTTCTCTAGCCTCTCCCTCCCTTTCATCACCCTGTAAACTTTTTTTCGTGTGTGTGTGTGTGTGTGTGCTTGCCCCACGTTGTATAAGAATATGCCAGCTTAGATGGCTGGTTGATACATGAGCCCAGGCTTCTCATGCCACAGATCAGAAAAGCTTCTCTAATCTGATCTCTGTTCCAACAATTCTCTGCACGTCCATGAGTTTATGCCCCTTAGTATTTGTGTGTGTGTGCCCTTGGTATTACTTACACTGTGGGGAGCTGTTTGCACACTCACATTCTGAGGACTCAGCCTTCCTCATGGGGATCAGAGGCTGGTCCCCACCATGTAAATTACTGGATTTTAGGGTGACGACATGGTTTAAGGTTAGGGTAAGGGTTAGATGTTAGACAAGTAGTGGTTCTGGATAAGGTTAGAATAAGACCAGGAAATGAATGTAAGTTATCGTAAAATCCCCACAAGGAATGAAAACACCCTTTGCATGTGTGTGTGTGTGTGTGTGTGCGCATTATCAGATTTATTGCTCCCACTCTTGCCTGCATAATTACAGTGTGAGGACTGAATGCATTTCACCATGAAAGAAGCTGACTGACAACAATGAGAGCAACAACAGCTGATGCCATGTAACAACTCATTTACTGTACAGCCATCACTGTGGGTTTTGACTGCCTCACACCAAAACATTCTCCACCTCCACTTTTGTCAGAGACAGTCTAAAATACTTGAAGAGGCAATGTAAAGTACTTGATCATAATTTTAATGGGACATTCATCAAAATGTACCTGTCAATGTTAATATACTAGTCAAGGACAATTATTGCACTCAGCCTGTAGAAAAAGTTGTCTAATATTTTCTGTAGCTATTTCAACTTGGGCTTTGAAATGGCACATTTATCAGGAAGCATGTCTTACAAACTCAGTGGGGAAGGAAAACTAATGGTAATAGTATTGCTAATATTATGTGTACATGGGTTCCAAGTACTCCTGATCGCACACCTTCCTTAATATATAACCATTTTTTTCTCTAGTCTTTCTTTTTCTCTGTTTATATCCTTTAAACTATTTTGCTAATGCAAACTCACTCAAAGCCCTGAGTAGGAAATAACTTTCTACTTTTAAATTCTGTCTGTCATTTCTCCCTTGCAATCTCTCCAGTACTCGAGAGAGATAAGACAGAAGCTGGAGTTGACATTTTAACTATGGAAAACAATATAGAAGACCAAGCTTGTAGTGAGATTTCTGTTGATTGTTGGCATCTCTGGCCTACACCTTGGCTTGTGTATGTGTGTGATAAAAAGAGGGTGTGTGTTCAGTATTTCTCCCCTCTTTGGTGGGCAGGTAGGAGGATGAAAGCTTCTCCTAGATGCAGGCAGCTCAGACTTTTCTGCAGGCAGCTGCCATACCTCTACCACTCTGCTCCGTAATATGACACACGTACAGACAAACAAAAACACCCAAACACCCACCCACACACGCACACACAGACGCAGATGCTCACGCGCAAACACACACCCCTGCTCCTGTTGGGTTGAAAAGTAGAATATTTCTATAATTTAGCTCTTCTTTCCCTTGCAACTTAAAGAGTTCTAAATGAATGTGTTCAGGAAGCATATGGAGGAACACAAAATCAGGATATATGATAACTGAATGATAAATGAATTATTTGAAGTTTGTATTTGAACTGCAAGTAAGATCTGCACCCTGATACGGTTCCCACTGAGCTTGCTTTAAGAAGCTGTTTCCTGCCAACATCCCACAGGAGACTGTCTGACATGTATTTGATAGATGCATAATTTTTGCCATAATAATGTTTTTGTGGAAGAACACTGATGATTTCTATGAAAGATTTACATCAATTTTCCAAGCTGTTACACATGCTATATGTGTGTTTCCCTATAGTGTGTGTGTGTGTGTGTGTGTGTGTGTTTATGCTAATGCACAAAAAGTAGTCCCTTTTGAATGATTTCTATTATCCCACTAAAAAAGCCAAAGTTCCTGAAAATAAACTCGTCTAACAAACTACATCATTATTAGAGGCCACTTTGAAAACAGAGGAGAACTTTGTAATGAGCTCAGTTTTGAGTTCAACATTGCATGGCTGTGTGCGTGTTGTGTGTCTGTATTTGTGTACAAGTGCATAATGGTGGGTGCGTGTGTTGTGGAATATAGAAATGTATATTTATGGAGCTGAAACTCTAACAACAGTTTTGCTGATTTAATGTAACTGGCAACTCTTGAAGTCATTTTAACAAAAATGTGCCAAATAATATCTCTCAGCAATTTTACACTGCCCTCATGGTGTCCACTGAAATTGAATGTTTGCTTCATTATAATTTCTTGGAAAGTGCCCAAACCCAGCTTCCTGTCTCAAGAGCAACTCTGCAAGCAAAGCACACACTGTGAAGTAGAAAGTGTTTCATATTTTGTCCCTTATTTCTTTATTACCAAAAATATTGCCAAGGAGGCTAAAGTACAAGACAGTGCGCTTGACTTGAACATATTGCTTGTAGTTTTGCATGTTATATCAAAGAGAGAAATTCAATCTGAAGAAATGAAATAGGTGAGAAATATTAGAAAAGAGGAGAAGTTGGAGTTGGGATTTGGCTTGTACACAGCATCACATTCACAATCTGTGCAGTCACGAAATAAACCCAAACAATCATAGACACTTTAAAAAGATACTGAAAAATCATAATAGCCTCTTGCATTTAAAGATTTCCATTTGCCAGCCAACTCTTAAACCTGAAAAAGCCAGAGCTTCTCATCATGCAAACAATTTTCTGCCATAGTGGTGAACAGCTATCTGTTATTTGTTGCTTTCTTGCTGAAACTTTTGTAGATAAGATGATCAATACCACTCTCAAATCAGCCTGTTTAATATGAAGCTGCAGCCTGTAGCTGGTTGGCTAAGCTTGGCACAAAGCGTATAAATGTCTGCCTAATTTGTAATGAAAAAAACTGATTAACATTTACATGAATATTTATTTATTCCATATGTAGATCATAGAGGCATTAAATGTCTTACCTGAATAAAGAAGGATAAGAGCAGATGGCAACCGGCACATGGCAACATCACCACACACACCTATTAAAGAGTGATAGGAGACACATATAAGGTGAGCAAAGCCAGAAAACAACCTACCTGTCAGTCAAAAAAAGGAGAGAAGATCAGTTAGAAGAGGAGGCTGACTACTGACCCTTCTCCCTGGGAGCTATGATGCAGAGTAACATCTGACAGAAAACCCCATTTCACCTCTGACCCTGCAGTCAGTGAGAAGGCTGCATACTCACTCCCACACTCCTCTTTTTCTTATCATGTCTCATCCTCTGTTTCTGTCATGGAATCACCCTTATACATCATTTCCTCTTCCCCTCATCTCCCTCTTCCACCTTCTCCTCACTGGAGCTCCACTCGCCCCATTTATTTCCACCTCACTTACACCCTCCATGGTTCTCCCTCTCCCCTAACAGGCAGGGCTGCTGTGGATGACACGCATCCTGCTGAGAGCCATGCAGGGTCGATGGACCGCAGTACACTGAGAGGAGCAATAGCCCTGCAACCCAGCCCTGCATGTGTTTTCTGTTTTCTTTCCTCTGTGTGTGTGTGTTCATGTGTGTGTGCCTATTTATCTGTCTGTTGTGCACCTCACAACCACAGCTGCATCACTGATGTGAGTCTCACAGTATGGGCAGATACTGTATGTGTGTGAGCTCTTTATTTTGTAGAGAAAGAGGTATGGGAAATGGGGTATCAGGAGCTTTGTTACTGCAGAACAACAGACCTCCTATTCAACCTGCATACTGCTAGATGTTTAGCAGCTAATTTATCCAATTGATTTGTATGTTTTTTGTTATTCCATCTCTCTCTCCATTCTGTCTCAATCTTTATTTTGACAATTAAGGCCAAATAAGCAGAGTGCGACTCATTAGTGCCGAGCAAATGTGAACAGCAAGAGACAATATACAGTATGTGTAGTCAAAATGTGTGAAAAGTGTATTACCTCCTATTCTGACCCTCACATAACAATTAAACATGTGTGCATGTGTATATGTTTGTGTTTGTGTATTTAGACATGGTGTCCCAGACTTCTGACAGTTTAATGGGTGCAATGGGCTGTGACCATGAATTATTTACGGGGTGTGTTTTAGGCAGGAAAGACTGATGATCCATAAATAGGACAGAAAAACATTACAAAACACAACAGCAAGAGATGACACACAGAAAATAAACTCGTCTAACAAACTACATCATTATTAGAGGCCACTTTGAAAACAGAGGAGAACTTTGTAATGAGCTCAGTTTTGAGTTCAACATTGCATGGCTGTGTGCGTGTTGTGTGTCTGTATTTGTGTACAAGTGCATAATGGTGGGTGCGTGTGTTGTGGAATATAGAAATGTATATTTATGGAGCTGAAACTCTAACAACAGTTTTGCTGATTTAATGTAACTGGCAACTCTTGAAGTCATTTTAACAAAAATGTGCCAAATAATATCTCTCAGCAATTTTACACTGCCCTCATGGTGTCCACTGAAATTGAATGTTTGCTTCATTATAATTTCTTGGAAAGTGCCCAAACCCAGCTTCCTGTCTCAAGAGCAACTCTGCAAGCAAAGCACACACTGTGAAGTAGAAAGTGTTTCATATTTTGTCCCTTATTTCTTTATTACCAAAAATATTGCCAAGGAGGCTAAAGTACAAGACAGTGCGCTTGACTTGAACATATTGCTTGTAGTTTTGCATGTTATATCAAAGAGAGAAATTCAATCTGAAGAAATGAAATAGGTGAGAAATATTAGAAAAGAGGAGAAGTTGGAGTTGGGATTTGGCTTGTACACAGCATCACATTCACAATCTGTGCAGTCACGAAATAAACCCAAACAATCATAGACACTTTAAAAAGATACTGAAAAATCATAATAGCCTCTTGCATTTAAAGATTTCCATTTGCCAGCCAACTCTTAAACCTGAAAAAGCCAGAGCTTCTCATCATGCAAACAATTTTCTGCCATAGTGGTGAACAGCTATCTGTTATTTGTTGCTTTCTTGCTGAAACTTTTGTAGATAAGATGATCAATACCACTCTCAAATCAGCCTGTTTAATATGAAGCTGCAGCCTGTAGCTGGTTGGCTAAGCTTGGCACAAAGCGTATAAATGTCTGCCTAATTTGTAATGAAAAAAACTGATTAACATTTACATGAATATTTATTTATTCCATATGTAGATCATAGAGGCATTAAATGTCTTACCTGAATAAAGAAGGATAAGAGCAGATGGCAACCGGCACATGGCAACATCACCACACACACCTATTAAAGAGTGATAGGAGACACATATAAGGTGAGCAAAGCCAGAAAACAACCTACCTGTCAGTCAAAAAAAGGAGAGAAGATCAGTTAGAAGAGGAGGCTGACTACTGACCCTTCTCCCTGGGAGCTATGATGCAGAGTAACATCTGACAGAAAACCCCATTTCACCTCTGACCCTGCAGTCAGTGAGAAGGCTGCATACTCACTCCCACACTCCTCTTTTTCTTATCATGTCTCATCCTCTGTTTCTGTCATGGAATCACCCTTATACATCATTTCCTCTTCCCCTCATCTCCCTCTTCCACCTTCTCCTCACTGGAGCTCCACTCGCCCCATTTATTTCCACCTCACTTACACCCTCCATGGTTCTCCCTCTCCCCTAACAGGCAGGGCTGCTGTGGATGACACGCATCCTGCTGAGAGCCATGCAGGGTCGATGGACCGCAGTACACTGAGAGGAGCAATAGCCCTGCAACCCAGCCCTGCATGTGTTTTCTGTTTTCTTTCCTCTGTGTGTGTGTGTTCATGTGTGTGTGCCTATTTATCTGTCTGTTGTGCACCTCACAACCACAGCTGCATCACTGATGTGAGTCTCACAGTATGGGCAGATACTGTATGTGTGTGAGCTCTTTATTTTGTAGAGAAAGAGGTATGGGAAATGGGGTATCAGGAGCTTTGTTACTGCAGAACAACAGACCTCCTATTCAACCTGCATACTGCTAGATGTTTAGCAGCTAATTTATCCAATTGATTTGTATGTTTTTTGTTATTCCATCTCTCTCTCCATTCTGTCTCAATCTTTATTTTGACAATTAAGGCCAAATAAGCAGAGTGCGACTCATTAGTGCCGAGCAAATGTGAACAGCAAGAGACAATATACAGTATGTGTAGTCAAAATGTGTGAAAAGTGTATTTCCTCCTATTCTGACCCTCACATAACAATTAAACATGTGTGCATGTGTATATGTTTGTGTTTGTGTATTTAGACATGGTGTCCCAGACTTCTGACAGTTTAATGGGTGCAATGGGCTGTGACCATGAATTATTTACGGGGTGTGTTTTAGGCAGGAAAGACTGATGATCCATAAATAGGACAGAAAAACATTACAAAACACAACAGCAAGAGATGACACACATCCCTCTTACTCTTTTAAAGCATATGTAAAGCACATGGTATTATAATACTAATGAGAATAAAGAAAGCGTAGATTATGTACCTTCAGTGTAAACACAAAAATTTGGGAAAAAAATGTAATGGGGTTTAAATTTAATTAAATAATTTGACGACTGTTGTGAAAGCTTCTCATGAGCTCACTGTCACTCCATGTCTACTCCAGGGTGTGGGGCTTAACTTGAGTTAATTTTATCACCATTTACCAATCAAAATCAATGATCAGATAAAACTACTGGAGATTCATTCACAGAGTCGATTAGAAAGTAGTCTGTTCGTATATTGATTAATTACACCATTTCATTATCTGCATTAGGCTCAAAGGTTATGTTAGAAATAAAGAAATGAATTTCCTTGACCTTAAACACAGCTGAAATTAAGATAAATACATAAATTAAATAAATAAATAACAGGACATTCATTAGCCTTTGCTTAACAACTAAACTGCAGTTCCAGAATGTACATTACATGCTGTTAAACAATAGATAAATAATTACATTTACAAGGAAAATTCTAAATTAACCCTTAAAAGGTTTCACATTTCAGGGAGACCAAACTGTGGTCTCTTGTGTAGCCGGTACTCCACTGGGACTCTTCATTAAAAGAGCTTTTAACCTCTGAAAACTACACAGAGCCTACGAAGAGAGCGCTCAGCTTTGTGAGCGTTTTTCACAGAACACTTACTGCCAAAAATGGTTTGGAACATGAGGACTGTTTATTTAACTCTGAAAATGCTATAACTGACAACAATAAAGAATTTTGGTTTACAGTAACTTCAGTTTTGAAAACTTTAAGTCATGTGAACAAAAAAAGCAAAACAACTGCTGGTGCTAGCATTTCAAATATGAGGTTTTACCACTTTTCTCTGTTTTTTATAATTGTAAATTGAATCTGTTTGGGTGTCGGATGCTTACTCAAACAAAGCAAGCAATGTAAAGACCTCAGCTGGGCTCAGAGTACAGTTAAAAAGATATTTCTAGGTAATTTACAGAGCAAAACCTAAAAAAATCATTGAGGCATTAATGTACACTGGAAGTATCTGTCATGCATTTCCACCAGGTTTCAGCCAGTCATCTCTGTCTTCATAGTCCTCACGGTGCATTTTTCCTCAGTTTTGGTGACATCTGACATGATTTGATTAATAATGGCTTTGCAGCCTAAAAGCAGGTTTGGGAAAGGTGTAAAAGCATTTATTAGATCTGCATTTTATCACCGTAGAGGGCATCGGCCCTGTCAGAAGGAGAATTACCCCTCTGTGGATGGCATCTATCAACTTAACTGTCATGTAATGACCCCGAGAATCATGAAGCATCAGTCAATCTCATCATGGCACAAGTACAGCTGGATCCTGTTTAATTTATGTTCACACCCTGCCAGTGTGGCGTCACTGCAGTTGAGACATGAGGCGTACAGAGTGCTGATGTGGACAGGTAATAATAACAATAATAATAAGTAGAGAGTGATGGTAGAGTACAGCGTACCTCAGAAGAATAAATATAATTGGATTGGACAGAGCCACAAGACTTTTAGGTAGAAATAATGTTGGTTGGTTTTGGTCGCTTCAGGTTAGGTGGTCGTGTGTGGAAACCAATTACTGCAGCCATTCCTCACTAATTATCAGGAATTAACTGGTGTTTTATCTTTTCCATTTGCTCCCTCGCATTAGCCCTGGATTTGTGTCATCATCATAATTAGGAGACTGTTTATTGCCACTGCAGCACAACAGATTATTGGAGTGCAACTCACTTTAAAACATAGTATTTCATTTGTCACTGTGACAAGTGTTATTTTGTATTTTCAAAAAGGATATACAGTATGTGGTAAGTGTGACTTGTGGCAGTACAGTATGTTGCAAAGTAAACAAGCCAGTCATATTCTGTTGTTGCATGTTTGTGTAGTTAAAAAAAATCATATTTCTCAATGTTTATTACTTCATATGTTATAATAGTAGAAATTGCTATTCTTTTAATAGCTATTGCCACAGGGCTGTCTGAGAAAAATTATGAAAGTTGACTGAAAAAAAAATATGAACACTGATTTTATTGATGGCAAAACCACACTTTAACAAAAGCATATTTTTAACAAACTTCTTCCATTCATTTCAGTGCTTTAGTTTTGCAGAAACCCAAACCTTTCAGGAACTTAGCAAGACTGACAGTTGCTTTCAGTACTTGTGATAACTGACTCAGGAACTTAGCAAGACTGACAGTTGCATTCAGTACTTGTGATAACTGACTGATACGTAAGTTTTTGCCTTGCTTAATCCCAAGATGGTCTAAGTAAGGTTTACATTTAATAACAGTACTATTATTTCAACTTTTTGCAAAATGCTGCACAGGCAGAGCTGCACACTGGGTTTGAGACAGTTTGATCTGTGCATGGGGTGAATATCCAAGGTAGATACTACCTGATGTAGCAGTGAAGGAAGAGTGACTAGGTTATTGTGCCTGTAATGTAATCATAACCAGTGAATGATGATAATTATTTATAAACACTTTCAGATTATCTTTAAAATGTGCTGCAAACCATGTAATTCAATGTTGAAAATAGCATTTCCATTTATGTGTAACATTTGTTTTACTTTTTTCATTTGATCAGGAACATAGAGTATTTGGTATGCATCTTTTTTCTTCTTTT